AATTTTAGATTTCCAAGGGAATCAAATTCCAATTGTCCATGAATGAATTGGGGAACAGCATGCAACTACTTCAAGGCATCAAAGTCCATGTGTGCAGCTACATTCTTGCCTTCTCTGGTAAAGGTGTGTGAGTTTAGGTGTGTGAAGGGAAGGAGGATCTTGCTGACCTGCTGTTTCCCTGAATTTTTACCCTCAATGGGCTTGTTATGTCTTACTTCCCTAGCAACCCCAAGCCTTCTGATGTGGAAGCATAACACAAGCTCAAGAAGGTGGATTTGGAGACAAAATCCACACCATAACAGACTGAACGTGCAAATCACTGAAGGTGCAGACTGAAACATTGGAGTGCAACCTGCATGTGCCTGGCAGGAGAATCCCCCAGACCAAATGCCTGGCTATGACACCTCTCTCCAGCCAAACCAGTTTCAAACCAGGGAAGCAGCTGGTTGTGATCCTTCCATACCTGCTGCCTTGCTGATCAGCCAGCAGCAGGCAGTCCTTTTGGGCAGCTCCTCTGCTTCTCTCCTTGTTGCTTTGGAAAGAAGTTAGCAACTGGCCCTGTGGAGGGAAGCTGTAGTTTGGAAAGGGAAAGGGACTGAAAAGCATATAATTTTAATTAATGAAAAGGGGGCGTTTAATTCTTGCCTGCCTTTCTGGTCCTGAGGGAGGATCTGCTGTATCCAGGCAGATGTCTGACCCTGGAGATGCTCCTCTGTGGGGTGAGCTGAGGGGTCATTCACAGGCTGCTTGAAGGACCTGGGGGATCTCCATCATAACATCTTTCTTTCAAACAGAAGCTACTCAAATTAAAAGAGAGAGTAGGCAGGCAAATAAAGAAGGCACTATCTAATTAACTGAGAGGTTTGGGTATGTTTTGGGGCACTAAGAGCTGACAGATTCCTCCCTGAGATTACGCAGCTCCCAAACAGTGCAGCCAGTGATGGGGGCATGCTGCATTCCATGAGCAGGAATGATCCATGGGGTGGCTGCGCCAGGGGGAGGAATGACCACCCAGAGCTGCTGCAGTCAGGACCAGGCTTTGGAGGATGGTGTGTGCTCCTGCTGCTGATCCAAAAGTGGCGTTCTTTCCACACAAAATTTTATCAGCCATTTTCTTGTTGTTTCATTAATTATTGCTGGTTTTGCTAATAATGTTCCATTTAATCTCTCACAGCCATCCCTTCTTTACAAAGGAAGGAAGTGTAACTCATGAAGACTGCTGACAACCTATAGAAATTCAGCCATCAGTTTAAGGCCAGTAACAGCCCAGAGTGGTGCTTTACATGCCAGTCCCAAGGGTGCCTGCCTGCATTAATCACACTGAGCAAAGCTGCTAACACTGCAAAGATTGCTGCACTCCTCAGCCTGCCAAGCAAGACAGTGATGGGCTCAGAGAGGTGGGGGCATTCCCAGAGGCATTTCTTGAAACGCAATTAGGTCTGGCTGGGGAAGGAGGCATTTGCTGGTGTGAGAGAAGAGGCTGCAATGGCAGGTGGATGGGAAGGCAGCGAGGCTGAGCTGGTCAGCCACACGAGATCCAAGGAGATGGTCTGCCAGGGAGAACTGGCTCTGTGCTCCCAATACCCCATAACCACCACTCAAGCAAGGGAGGAATGGTTCCCAAGTCCTTGGACTTCGACTGCTTGCTTTATTAAAAAAGAAAAAAAAAAAAGTGAAAGCTCACAAAGAATTGAAACTGCCTGGGGCAACCAAAGTGCCTTTTGATCCAACTACGAGCGCTTAGAAGAAGAAAAGAGGCACATGTGTTACTTTTAAAGGTATCACACATCCACCCACCTGTTGGGAACAGTTAAAAAATACAACTGGGTTGGCTACAGTCTGAAGGGAGAGCTGTGAAAGGAATAACAAGTGAAGTAATTTCTACAGGTGACACTTAAAGCAGCAGCCAATGGAGAAGCAGTTGACATGCATACTCTGGTTCTTTAGTGCCTGTTCTGAGGAAATGGCCTGACACCCTCAGCAGAGCAGAGTTGCCTAACTACCTTCTCTGACGAGACTTTAAAGATAAAAATTAGGTACAATTTCTATATTACAGTGATCGCAATAATGCTTGTCTCCTAATTGCCTCTCAAGTGAAATAAAACAGAACAACATCATGCAATGAGGAATATTTTGTCATAAGGATTGCTTACATGTAAAAGGACTGCACTAACTGCTTCCCCTGTGAAAACAAGAACATTAAATATCATGGCCTGGATGGTCCTGATGTACCTACAAGTGTGATATCAAATGAGATGGCACCACTGGCCGTGTGCATCAGATGCATACATGAAAACTATTTCAGGATGTTAAATCATGTGTATGAACATAATTTCCACCGTGGAGTCTCTTCACGCTGTCTTGCTATGACCAGCCCCCTTGGCTGTAACATCTGGGGTAGGGGCAGGGAGTGGAAGGAAGGGGTGAGACACAGAACAGGGGGGAGACACAGAACAGAATCAGAAGGCTTCTTGCTTAGGAAAATCTAGTTCTGGGTTGTGTTTTTTTCCCCCACTCTCAGAACAAAATGTGAAGCTACAGATCCTCCAGGAAAATACAATAAAATGCAAAAATATTCTTGGAACAAAAATGTTCCACTTCCAAAATGTCAAAATGATGTTTTGACACTACTGAAAGCTGTAGTTTCAGTTAAATAGAATTTAATGTTAGAAAGTGACATGCTTTTATGAAGAGTTTTGATTTTGACAAAGTGGAATTTTCCAGCATTGAAGCCATCTGATAAAGTCTAACCAACTCTGATTACTGATATATTACAGCAAGGTGGGGTTTTAAGTGAAGGAATTAAAATCCCATTTTGAAAAAGGAAGAGAGGTTAACTAAGTTTTACTGTAATTATGATGGAAAAAAGATTGTTTGAGGACTCTCTGAAGGAGATATTAGTAATACAGCAAGATTTTTACATGTTTTAGAATGTAAGAGTGAAAAATGAACTGTACAGGTTTGCTGTTGATGGTCAACCAGACAGCTGACCAAAGAGATTTCCATTCTTTATACCACAGGCACAAAGTGATGTGTATGGGTGTTGTGTTACCAGCATTGGTACATTTAGGATTCCCTATATTACGTCACTCAATGACATATATGACTTTTTATTTAATACAGTTGTTCAGGTATTCCTATTTAGGGTGTTTCAGCATGCAGACAGGATTTGCTGAAAGCTGGCCGAATCTGTAAAGATCCAATTCTGCAAATTTATGACAAGTTTTTTAAATTAGGAGAGTAGTCCCCAGGACTTCAGTGAGTCTTGTAGGATATGGTTTCTTCTATTTTTAAGGATTTCCAGGAGTAGGCCCTTGAATGGGTATCTTTTTGTAGGCATTCTAGTCTAGCAACATGCATCAAGTTGAGTTTTATTTCATGATGTATTTTTGGTAACATTTTTTTCTACATAAACAGGGTCAAACAATCTTGCATATTATCAGGACCCCATTTCCCAATTCAGTTGAGCTCAGTTGAGCTAACTAGCTCTAAAATCACCTGCATGACTTACAAACACTTGCTACCTCTCCCTGTCACGCACTAGGGGTTTCAACTGTATGGATGTGTCCCTTCATCCTTTGTGGATGAAAACAAGGACATACTCATTCCACAGATTACTTCCTCATCCTGAGACCTGTTTCGTCCCCCTCAGTTACATGGAGTGTCAATAAGCACCTTTTAGATTTGTGTAAGAGGAAGAAGTGAATTTTTAATTCACTTGAGACAGAAAGTCGAACACATCTGTCTGTGTACTGAAAGCCACAGCGCAATCAGGAACCAGCCCTACAGCTTTTGTCCTGGGCCTGTGCAAAGTGCAGAGATATGCCCAGGTCCTTGTGAGGAACGATCCCACCCGGCTTCCTCGTTTTTTAAAGATGCAAACAAAAACAAACCCAGAAATGCAGCTTTTTCTTGGAGTGCCACAAAGTGTTCGCCAGACTGAGGCGGCTCAGGGAATGGAGCTGACAGCTGTGCGCGCCAGACACCGTGGGAGCCATACACCCCCTCTTTGGTGTGACGGGAAACATCCTGTCAGAAACACTCTGCATTTGGGCTTTTCTTGAATTAATTATCTGTAAACGGTAAAGGGCGCATCCTGCTGGGAGCCTGTGATTCCTTGGCGGTATTTATGGAGGTGTTCGATAGGAGAGTCGTGACGGTCAAAGCTCGTCAGACGGAAAGCACCGTAGCATCAGGGCTCCAGCCACAAGTCTGCTAGGGCTGCTCCCTCTAGCGAGAAAAAGTACTTTGGCTGGGGAAAAAGTACTTTTTTATTTTCTTTCTTTCTTTTTTTTTGTTTTTTTTTTTTTAATTATTTCTTCTTATTTTTTTTTAAATTCTTCTCTTCTCTTCTCTTCTCTTCTCTTCTCTTCTCTTCTCTTCTCTTCTCTTCTCTTCTCTTCTCTTCTCTTCTCTTCTCTTCTCTTCTCTTCTCTTTTCTTCTCTTCCTTTTTCTCTTTTCTCTTTTCTCCTTTCTCTTTGTTTTATTTCTTTAAGTGAATAATTCAAGTTTTCCGGATAGTGCAAGACACAGGGCAGTTTCTATCAGACAAAAGGTGACCAAATGCTGCACTTTTCCAGCTGCTGAGCATGGAGAGTGGAGCTGGTGCCCAGGCAATGCAAGTCAGTGATTTCTCCTCAGAGGCAAGTGAGGGACTCTTGGTTTGTCTTCTAGCAGTCCTACACATATGCTGTAGCTGTGTTTGGTTTTGATTTGCCATTTCTGGTTACAAAAATAGGACTTACTATAATCATAATAATATTAATGATACAAAATAATTACTGTAATTATATACTTTTTGGCAAATTATTAACACAAAGCAGCCCAAAAGATCCCATTGGATTAAAAAAAGGTGACAATGCACAAATGTTAAAAAAGACAAAGTCTTTGATAAAAAAGAAGGAAAAGCAATCTGCAAATGAATGCATTTCTGTAAGGCAACATGTTACCTTTAGTCTTCCATCTAGATTTAGCTCAGATTCTGTTGTTCAAGAAATTATTAGAACTTGGCTTGCTTGAGTTTATCAATGTGGTAACACAGTTTCAGTGCCGGTCCCAATTTCAGCCCCAGGTATTTCATGATCATATCGCTTTTCAGCAGTAACAAAGCATTGCCATCAATTTCCTGGTTTCAAAAGAGAGGAAGAGAATCAAAATGTGCTAACCCCCCTTTAAGTGCTGTGTCCTGACAGATTAAACAAGGTGAATTAGAAACAGCATGTCATTTAGGGTAGAGCTACCTGAAATGTCATGCATTTTGAAATTTCATTAAAAAAATTGAAATCTGAGGTGTGATAGAAGAAAGCTGTAAAGGAAGGTTTAATTAAATACTACTTTTTATTCTTGAAGGATCTATAAGATTAGTTGAGGTTTTCAATTTATTTTGCAATTAAAAGTAGAATTTTTTAAAAATCAGAGTTGCTCTAAGTGCAATTCTGAGAAAAACCAGTCAGCCTTGAGAGAAAAGTATGAGTGATGGAGACAGCGAAGGATGTAGCCACATTAAACTGCTAATAGAACACCTCCAGATCTCAGTTTCAGCTTTGTCCCCAGCTATCTGTGTGTTTCACATATCTCCAGTACACTTATACCCAGTGATGCAAGTATATGGTATACGTGTGTGTGTGTATATATACATATACACATATACATATATATATATATGTTTTCTTCTCAAATTGAAGACAGTAGTAACTTGCTTTTTTAATTACATTTATTATTAAATTTGCTAAACTTTAATTCAACCCTCATGCACGTGGAGGAAATTACCACCAAGCTCAGCTGTTTATCCCAGAACTGTTGGCTTGAAAACCTTTTGAAATTATGAAGTACTACTGCAAAAGTAGCCTGAGCCCACAGAGAAAGACTCTCCTTTATTTTGGGCTGTAGAACACAGAAGCTTTCAGCTGTACTGTCCTTCCTTGGACCCAAAGCTTGTCTGGTTTTTCCCAACTGTATTAGCCAAAAAATACCACCTGTCCCCAGAGCTTCCAGCACATTTACACACACACTAATGCTGTCTACATTTTGTTCTACGGTTTTGATGGTCAGAGCTTTCCACTGTGATCCATTGCCTACTTATTAAGCAACACTATGGATCCTAATTTGCCCTGATCATTATTATTCCATTCACTAGGTGATTTATCTGATGAGCAGTTAAGGTCACTTTCTGATTAACTCAATCAATTAATGCTCCTCATTTTGCAGCCCCCTCTCTATCCATAATAGAAACTGTCTCCACCTCCCCCCTCTCCTTGCCATTATTTTAAGGAAGCTAATGTAAAGTAAGAATAAGTGTAACATATAATTACTATTTGCATAAGAAATAAAGTAAGAGCTCCTTTAACTGTGGTGCCATAGGATAAAAACACTGTCAAGGGTCAGGTGTGGAGGAAGCTGTTTCTAAATGTTGAGTTCAGCATTTTATTATTTCCATTATTATTACTGTGTAGGGGTCAAGATTAAACTCCATGACAATAGTATGCCAGAGGGAGCATTCATATCCAATTAAATATCCCGTAGTAGCCATTTCCCTGTGCAGATTCTTGGCTTGACTTCTTTACAGTATTACTGTGTCAGCCTTTTTAAAAATAATCTTTGAAAAGAAGACTTTGATAACGTGCTTCCCACGCATACATTAGCCCCAGCAGAAGGTCTTGGAGCAGGTCTGGAACTGGTAACATCCAGTACCATCGGGGCCACCTTTCCCCTCCACTGTTTCCCTTCCCACTATCTTTCTACCAAGTCTTTCCTGCTGATGGAGTCTCCATGGGATCTCACACAGTGCTGCTACAAGGTCTCTGGCCAGGGCAGTGGCTCCATTCCGTGAGACCAAAAGCTCTGTCAGTGATGAGCTCGGCTGTCCTTGGCACACAGAGGGAGCTGTGGGAGCAGGGAACAGCCCAGGGGAGCTGGTTGGCAGTTTCTCAGTCTTGGGTGGACACTCTCAGGAGCTACCTATGACAGAGCTCCCTGGATATATTGGCAAGAAGCAAAGCTTCTGCTCCAGGTGGGAAGAGCAGGGAGAGCCAGAGCATCCTACAGCGCCCTTTGGGGCAGTGAAGGATGTGGGCTGCAGGCTTGAAGAGCTGTCTCTGAGGACTGAGGTCAGCACCCAAATGGCCTGCTAGAGCAGTAGGAAAGCACACTGCCCATGTTCAGGATACATCCTCCAGCTGTTTTCTTCCTGAAACAACAGCCTCTCTCTCCCAGCTCAGATGAGCTGATTGCCAAAGCAACTATTTCTGGCGATAGCTGGGCCTTGTCAATGACAGTAAGTGCTTCTAAGTAAATTATGCACCTGCTTCACAGAAAGATTGAACATACAGGAAGATATGGCTGAGGTTAATGGACTAATCACTTGTCTCTCACCCCTGGGGTCTTTGTGCTAATCCAGATGAGGTTTGAAGGCTGAAAAATTGCAGGGATATATATAACTCAAAGGTGTAATTGAATTGAGTTGTGTGGCAATCATACCCAGGTTCTCACACCTATGGCATGTTTTACAAGGAAACCAATGATAAGTAGAGCCCATGGGTGCTGGGTGTGCAACAAAGGATGACAGGGACAGTCTTTAGTGGCAATTTAGCTTGATCTCTTTGGCTGCAGAGCAGCTGCAGTATCATGGCATTCTCCAGCGCAGCTGGCCCATGACTGCCTGGAGTGTTCCCAGGCCCTGCTGCTACATAAAAGCATACTTTGCTACAAATGGAAACTAGACAAAATTCTGCTTTTGCACTCTCCATATTTACAAGACAAACTTTAGAAGTTGTGTTTTTTTCCTTTGGGATATACCTGTATGCCTTAGACCATGTCAATTCTCACTCGCATGAAGATTTTCTCTTGATGCACAGACCCTTCTGCTATTGTCAGAAACTCATTCTGTAGCAAGTCCCTTCAGACCTAAAGGTGGCTTGTTTATCTGCCTGGTTGCCCACATGACCAATATTGGCCATGCTTTCATTATCAGCTTGTAAGGCAGAAGGCAGGAAAAGCAGGCCAGCACCTCACCTGTACTTGCAGATTTGGCCCTACACCACTGTGCCTGCTGCTGTTCTCATCCCACAGAGCTGTCTACAGAATGGCAGATGGCCCCAAAACCTTCCTACGGTGAGCAGACACCAAGGCCTGTGTTCATTTTCAGCTGCTCCTCAGTCACTTCTTCTCCTGTATTTAGAAACCCTGGAAGCAGTGTGTAGCTGGAAGTCCATCTACCAACCCCAGCTCTCATTTGCAGCTCCACAGCCCCACTTGTCTCTGCTGGCATAGGGGCAAGGAGTGATCAAGCCCTCTTGTTGTCTCTGCAACACTGGGGGTGGTGGTCAGGACTCAGGACAGGGGAGAAATTCTCATTTAGACCTAGGTCCAGACACTTACACAAAAACTTATGACCTCCAGCTGAACACAAACAAGTCACTTTTAGGGTAAAATACATTTTTCATAGCCAGACTTGATTGATTAAGGAGACATGGAGAAGGAAAAAAATTCTAATAGACACCATATATAGCAGCAGAACAAGAAACTCCAGATCAGAAAAGTTTATTCTCTTCCCATTTACTAATTAAAGATAATATAATTTCCATCACTGGAGGTTATCCTCACAAAATCAACAATCATATCCTCTAGAGAGTCAGCAGGTCTGTTAAATTTGGTTATGTAGTTACATAATACTGAGGGGGAAAAGATTAAAATGTTGGCTCTTTTGGGTTTCTCCTGCTAAATATCTAGAGACAAATAAAAAATGCTCTTCAGGGAAGAATCATGTATATCCTGTGAAAAAAATTGTCATTGAAACGAGGCTTTTTTGTGCCAATCTGACAATGAAAAATGAGCACCAGATCCTCAGTGCTTTCTCTTAGGCTTGGCATAGGAACAATTTATGCTGGAGTAGCTGGGAACAAACAGTGAATATTTTCTAAAGACACTGTTATGGTTTCCCTATTGAAGTATAAATTAATAGAGTAACATAACATAGCACAAAGAAGAATGGAACAGAATAGAATAGAATAGAATAGAATAGAATAGAATAGAATAGAATAGAATAGAACTGTTTCAGTTGGAAGGGACCTACAATAATCTAGTCCAACTGCCAGAGGAATTCAGGGCTGACCAAATTACACTGTGTTATTAGGGGCACTTTCCAAAAGCCTCTTTAACACTGACAAGCTTGGGGCATTGTTCACCTTTTCACAAAGCCCATCCTGGTGTTTAACTACCATCTCAAGAGATATGTAAAATTTCTCTAGCCCAAGCCCTCCAGAGGTGCTGAATTCCTTGCCAGGTCCTGCATTCAACCTGGCTGAGGAAGCCCATGGCATCTGAGGGTCTGTGTGTGACATGTGCTGGCTGTCTCTTGTGACTTAAATTACCTAGAGGTGGTAAGGGTAGACTTCTACATACGTGTTTTCTGAAGAGTTCCACATGAGGGCCTAAAGCCTGAGGGTCTGCATCCTTCACAAACCAAACCACATCATCCACTGTCCAGGTCAAAGGATTCTTGCTTGATGGCCGACCAGCATCTTGTCGTTCAGGTGAAGGACTTGAGGCTGTCAGTACAAAAAAGCCCACAAGAGTGCTTTACAATGGCACAAAGAGGTTTTCTTCAGTTTGTGATTATGAGTGTGCAGGGCTTTGGCAGCCTCACTGCAGCACTGGACATTGGATCTGTGCATGCAAGTACTGGCCTGAGATGGCAGCATAAGGAAAAAAGGGGGACTCGCGGAAGTTTCCAATCTGACTGCTTATTGGAAGACATGATCCCATCTGGTGAATTGTGTTAAAAAACATGAAACCCTTAGGTCCCTGCTGGAGAAGGAAAGATGTGCCAGCTGCCAGGCTCTTAAACCAAGCTGCCCCTGCTGTCTGATCTGCAGCAGCAGGGATCTTGGATCAAGAAGACACTACCCTCACACCTGGAGAGAAAGTTCTTTGGCGCTAAAAAAAAGAGTTTGCCATTGAATGTGAAGGCTAGAGGATAAAATCAGGATTTAGCAAATAGGGTTTTTAATTTGCATTCAGATATTCATACTTGTTTTAGAGATCAGCAGAAGGTTTTCAGTCTGCATCTTCCTAATCTTAGTCTCTCACAAAGCTGATGGTCCCCAATGAATGCCAATTTGGAAAGTTACTAAAACATGGGAAGATGAACATTGCACATGTGACTTTTTAATGGTATAACCCCTCGATGATTTGAGGTGACTTCAGCTTGCTGTGGCTTTAAATCAAGTCAATAACATTGGAACGAAAAGTGCCTTTATGTTTTTATTCTTAGTCTCTGTAGAATTATAAATCTCAATCTCCACCTGAAAATAATTTGTACCTCCACTTATGCTGCTTCTTTATGACAAGATCTATATTATGCTAGGATACAGGAAAGCTGTTTCCATTTGTTTATATCCACACCAAGCAGACTATGTGTTAGCAGGCAGCAGCACACAGATACATTAAATGTGACTTGCTCACATCTGCTCATCTATTTCTGTCAAGGCCCAGTTTTTAATGAGAGAAGTGCTAATGGAAAGCAAGTATACACTACAGAAAGCCAGAAATCAAACAGAAGAGTGCATGTAGAGGGAGATCAAGACACCAAAACTAGAGCCTAAAAATGCCCCAAGCAGCCAAACAGCAATCAGAACTGCTGAGAAGGGATTAGTTCTCCAGAGAAATAGTGAGCTTATAAAGGCAGATGAGATGTGTGAGAATCCCCACACATGACTCAAAATACGATCCTAGTGCACATGAATAAATGTGCTGGGTGGGTTTGGGGCTTATGTAGGTTGTCATTCCATTGACTTCAATAGAGCTCTGGTGATTTATATTGACTGAGACTCTGCCCATAGACACCCAATAATGGGTTTATGTGCATATTTGTCCTTTTTTCCTTGCCACCATGCTCATCTTACAGTATAATGTAATGAGGTGTGTTTGCAGTTACTCCGAATGGACTCCAGAAAGCAGCAGTGCTATGAATGTGCAAATCTAGTTGATGGTTTTCATAATGAGATGAGATGTAAATATCATGATAATTGCACTCTCATTTGCTACATCACTGTTCTGGATACAAAGGACAAGGAAGAGCTGCAGGTCCTTTTAATTAGACAGCGAAGACCGGTGTTTGTATGGACTCAGGTGACCCTGGGCTCCACTCACAGAATAAATGCAATACACAACAGTACAGACACCATCTGGAGCCTTTGGCATGAAACAACGAAGACAGAGAGTGCAAAACAAACAGGGTAATCTTGGCCAACCCCTGGATCATCAATAACATTGAGGAACTCTGTCAGGGATAAGTGGGAGAACTGAGACATGTCTTGGAGACAGAGGGGCATTTCTCCCATTTCTTCTTCATGATCTGTCAATGGTTTGGATGAGTGCTGGTGTGTGGAGGTATTGGGCACTACACCATCTTAAACCAAAGGTCAGGAAAAAGATCAGGCTTTTGCAAACTAGTCAGAAAATAGAGCAAGGAGAGAAAGGTTTGGCTGTGACCAAAAGACTGCAGAAGTTTCTCTGCTACTGCTGTAACATGGTCAGGGAGATGTGCCACTACTGAGGAGCACATTTTTTTTCCCCTTAAATTTGTATAAATGTAAGGAAAGCCCAGAGGATTTAGCCTGGGATTTACACTGGGAACAGAAAGGGCAGCCTGCAGCCCACTGACTCCTGCCTGCAACATGCCCAGGAAAGGGCAAAGGGGAGAAGAGAGCCCCAAGTGCAGCTGGGAGCCTTCACAGGTATTGGAAGTATCTGTAATAAAAGGAAGGGGGATGAGAAGAAAAGGTTGAAATGACAGGAAGAATCTATTCACTCCTTTGCTACCTAGCAATCAATAGCATAAATGTGATTTCTGAAAGACAAATATATAAATGACCTTTCTAAAGAGACTGCATGGCTAGAACTCTTACAGACCCTAGCAGGTGAAGATAACCCTTTCAAATCCATGCCAAAGGAATAGTATAATATCATAATATATAAACAAGAATTATATGTCAATACTAATTCTTAAAATAGCTTTTTTATTGTCTTTATTTACCTACCTAGTATCAAGTTTTGGATTCTCTGCTGCTTTTTAATGAATTAAGGTCTGTTAATTTACTTGTGTGAAAGGAGCTACCTTTAAATATTATTAAGAAAACTGAGATACTCCCAGTTTACAGCAAAATATCAGGTTTTAGCTGATGAATCTGGAAACAATCTGGTTTTCCATATATTTTACAATTTTTTTTATTAATTAATTTGGCTTTTTTACGTTGTAGTTTACCCATCTGAGTGTAATTTCTCAATTTACAGAAGAAAGTAGATCATTTCATGTCTACACAAAGGCATGGGGTTTCTTTCAATAGCATCACTTTGGTGAAAGATTATATTAAGCACAAAAGTGTTTGATGGCAGCAGGGCAAGTACTATACATTTTTTTCATATCTGAAGGTATTCACACTTAACCTAGGAATTAGATAAATGAGGAAGTCTCATGTCTCCTGGGTATCCTATGCCATCCTGTCATCAGAATTAATCAAGATGATAATGAATACTCAGATTACAAAGAGATGGGAGTGCTTGCGACCAATAATTATTTTTAGAGATCATAATCTAGGTCAAATCCAATTTCCTGTTTTTGACAGGTGGCAAAAATTTGTCAAATTAATGGAATGGGATATGGAAATTTAGGTAATCAGAGGGAAGCACTTTCCCCTCTTGCCTCAAATGATATTGGGGAAGGACAGTAAAGAAGTTCCTCTGCAGGGCAATGTCTCCAGGCAGGCATCCCAGTCAAGACAATTGCCCACACAGAAAAAGCTGGAATTATCAGGTCAGTGACAAAAGCTGAGTGAAGCTGAGGGAAAGAGGTGGCCTGTCTCAGTCTGCGTTTTCACTCCCACACTTCTCTCTGTCACTCATCTCTAACCTCTGGACCTTCCTGAGAAGAAGAATGGAGACAGAGCCAACAGCCAAATGGCTGCAGAGGCATGACAAGGAAATAAAATGCTAAAATGGAGTTAAACCTGCAAAAGAAGGAAAGACAAATAACAGACTCCCTAAATATGTTCTTGGCAAACAAACAGAGCCCAGAGGGAGTACAGTCATTGATAGATAAGAGTGGAAAGGGAGTGACAGATGAACTTTAATATTGCTGCAGGCCTAAATGATTTCTTTGCCTCAGGGGAAGGGGGTGGGAATGAAATTTTAAAAGGTTCTCTCTGATTGCACTAGAGCAGATAATAAGGAGCAGCAGATCTACTGAAACTAAGCAGAAGTAGCAGACCCTCAAAGGTGCAGAGAAATGGGAATTATTTTAAAAAACAAACCACCCCCACTATAAACAGGAAAAGGAGGAAGACTTTAAGATACTTTTCTAAAAATCTAGGGCACACCAAGCAGAAAAGGAAGAGATACATCAGACAAGCAGGCGTGTGGGGGAACACAATTACAAGATATTTAGGGTGGGGCAGGGTGTTGACAAGTCATGATCAGCAGAGAACTCTGCAAAGAAGATCAGGCTCAGCACATCTGGCCTGCGCTGGCAGGACAGCTCGGGCAGCACCTGGCTGGTGTTCTCCACCTTGCAAGGTGTCACAGAAGAGTCCCTGTCCCAGCAGTGTGGCAGCTGCTCCCGCTGACAGCATGGCACGCACTGTGCGGGGATGCAACATTGCAGGTGCTCCTCCGGCCGCTGCAGGAGCAGCCCAGCATCCAGCTGCATGAGACGTGGCCGCAGACATTAAATATTTATCTGGGCTTTTCTTGCTTTGCCTCTCCTTTGTAGGGGAAACAAAAAGGCAGCTCACTGGAAGCACTGAAACTTTCAGACTGAAATGTCCTCAAAAATTAGCAGGCAGGCTGTATTTGCTGAATACAGTGCTGAGGCTCACAATACCATCAGCAGCTCCTTTGCCTCGGGGAGGTGCTGGATCTGCCCCCCATGAGATGCTTGCAGCACTATTCTGGAAAAAGAGAATTTCAGCTCCATGCCCCCAAATGTTTTCAGAAAATATATGTACTAATAAGCAGGACTGCCTCTTTAACAAAGACCCTCAGGCGATAATAATTAACTGCTAATACTGGATAATAAAATCTCCATAAAAATAACAAGCTACAGGGCAAGGTTAAGGTTATTATATTGTGGTTGAGCACACAATCCTTCATACTTGGGATAAAGGCTTTGTCTGTTATGTAAGCAGGCTTGGAAAGGTTTATGATGTCCTTGACTATTCCTTCACTAATTTAAAAGCTTCAGTTTGGCAAATGATGACAGGAAAGTGCATGTTTATCTGTTTGCAGCCCCAACTGGCTTTCTGAAATGAGATTTTTTTTTAACATCTTTTTTTTTCAGAATTTTTTAGCATAATCAAGGAGAATTAGGCATCAAGCTTCCGATCGCATTAATGAGAGCTTTGAGGTTTAATCTCATCCATTCCGCTTGAAAGACATGTTCTGCTATGCACTGAGATATGTTTTATGATTATGGCTTTTTCCATGATATTTTCCCACCATGATAAATAAGGCAAGCTATTTTTCAAAACTATCCATAAATAAGCAGGATTGGTTTGAGGTTTCAGAGATAAATTCTTCCTCTTTTTAATGAGCCCATCTCTGCCTCATAAGTATACAAACCGAAGAGGATAAGAACAGAGACTGACATGCACCACTTACTCATCTTTGCTTACTTATGATTCAGCAACATATAAATTATGCCTAGAAAGAAGGAAAACACATGCACAGATTCCAAAGACCTTTCTTTGCTGGAGAGAATTTGTGAAGACAGTATTAAACCTCCAGTGTGGCTGCACTAGGGAAATTGCAGAAATGTGTGTTTTAAAAGTCTGGGATTGCCAGTAGAAGTGGAAGCAACATGGTGGGTGAAAATATGATTTCCTTCTGTGGACTAATACAATCTCTAATTTTAAGGAGGAATGGGTAATGCTTTGTAGGACTCTGGTGAGAATTCCAGTGTTACAGAGGTACACTATGGGAAATAGTGAACGAGATGAAACCAGGCTGTGACTGGAAACATCACAGTGTCTTAATGCTTGAAGTGATATCGTAGTGAATGTGTGGGCACCTTGACTTCATGGATGTCACTGTATTGCCCACCACAGCCACAGAAAACTGCCTGGCCTCAAAGGAGCCAGCTTGTGCTATGGTCTGTAGGAGATAGCTGGAGTCTCCAGAAAGCAGCTGAGAGGATTAGGGGAAGTGTGATGGATGGTGATGGCACAGACATTGGCTCCCGGTGGAGTACAGGGGATTGCTACAGGGGATTGTTAGGGACCTTGTCAGCAAACCCTGTATAGGTTTGTGTGTGCTCTGTGGTAGACCCTGATCTACAATGGGTGATACTGATGGCTAATAAATGCCTGGAAAATTAGGAAAACACCAACAATATCAATGAATCTATAACCATTTTAATGATGGTGGTCACTGCACACATTTCTGTTTTAGGAAGCTTTTACTGTTGAGCTGGCCAAATGACCCAGAGACCTCAGAGGAACTAGGCTATGCAAGTGTAAAAAGATTGTCACATGAAAATTACCAAGCTGTTTTGGGATGAGTTCTGTTAACTCCAGGTATTATATGTAGCAGTTTAAAGTAACTTGTGACTGCTTCAGAGGTACTCATGCCATGGATGCCTGGTTCAAAAGCAATATCTCCCTCTTTGCTCCTGAAAGTGATTTTAATGCTTTTAAGCCAAAGAAGTACAGGAATCTGTAAAGCCTGTTGCATGACCACTCCATGACTTTTTTTGTTGATTCAGTTCTGGAAAAAAACATGAGCCATATTTCAGCCTTTCATTTTGTAAAGACTGCAGATTTTGTGGGAAGTCATGAAAAGAGAGATGGAGATGTCTCCTGAAGCTTAGCTTCCTACTTGGAGGTTTCACAAAACATTGGTCAAGACTGGGAAACAGTGACATTCAAAGTCAAAAACAAAGAGGCAAAACAATGCAGCTGAACAATCTTAAGAAGCTCTAATTTTAAGCTTCAGTCCCTTGAACATAATTTCTGTCCCCTGATACCAAGGGTTTTCTCCACACCTCACGTTCTTATGTACAGAAGTTTTGCATATTCTGAAAAGGCACAAAGTATTCAGTAAGCCAAGTAAGACAACTCAGTAAGACAAGTGATTCAGAGAAGAAAAATCTGTGGAGGGTTACTAAGTATGAATCTACAACCTCTGTAGATTCTGGCTTTGAGCCACGAATTTTGGAAGGCAGAGAGCGTAGTGGGGATACACCACTAAATATATAAAACGAACAAGGTACAGGGATAAATACTTGTAATACATATTTTGGAAGAATAATGGTCTAAAATATTGAATAGTGAAAGTTCAGAAACAAGAAATAATACAAGTGTTGGGGAGGTGAGGAATGTGAAGGAATTAAACAAAGATTAAGCAAAGGATACTGGAAAGAGGCTCTGGAATGGCTTCCAAGCAAGAATATGCAGAATCAGTTGAAGTTTCCAAGGGAAATGCAAGGGCAAAAAGACAGTGTAATGAGCTAATGGTAGACAAAGGGGCTAGGGAAACCAGTAATCTTCCGCAAATATATCAAGATTTAAAAAAAAATTAGTACTAGAGTGGCAGTAGATTCCATTAATAAATGAGGAAGGAAAAAAAAATTAATGACTTTAAAATGGCTGAGACATTCAACTCCTTTGTTAGATCTATCGTCAGAATGAAATATGCAGACATGAAGTTTGAATAATTAGTAAGGGGTGAAGACGCTGTTGGCATCACTACTGATAAAGACCTGTTGACTGAGAATTTGGAACATACAAACGAAGTTAACTGAAGTTCAGTGAAACAGCTAACTCGTCTGATGAACTTGGGTAATTTCTAGAAGGAAAAAAATCATGGCCAATAGGAACCGTAGTGGAAGAGTAGAGCAACTGCCCCAGCAAGTGGTAATTGAACAAAAACACAAAGAAAGGGAAGAAGAATCATTGAATGCAGTGATTCCCATGGCATTTCTTGAATTTGCAGATAAACTTCTTGTGACTTTGCTTCCTGAAGAATAAAAGAGCCTTGAGCAGTGAGCTGAATGATTTTAAAAAAAACTATGTTTTGTTGGAAAGTCTTTTTCAAGCAAAATCTGGCTTGGTATGTAATTAAAGGGGCAGAATGGGCACACAGCTAGGAAGCAAAACCTTCAGCTAAAATGCTTTAAGGTAGGCACTAATATTTGGGTTTGCTCTGCATCACTTCTTGTACACAGCTGGTGTCACACAAATACCAGGTACCTGCCTGTAGGCAGTATAAATCTTTGGGAGGAATGCCTCATATATTAATGTCTACACGTCTGAGCTGATAATAACAGGTGTGATTGCCACACAATTATAGGTAATACATATGTTTACATAACAACAGCATTAGAAAACATTCACCTTTTTACTTAATGGTGAGCAGACTGATTTTTTGTTTACACAGGTTATTATTTCCCCCTCTAAATGGAAGCAGGAGTGGTCTGGATGGATTCCATCACAGAGCCACCTAATTTTCTTGGGAATTTGGGAATGAGTTAGGACTCCTGCACAGCACCAGCATAGCAGCACATATTGCAAAATGGAAGGTGTTACATTACCACTTCTGTTTCCTTCAAGATAGGCCCCATTCCTTGTTGGGCTGGAGGTCTGATGCCGCAGGCCAGTAGATGAGGACCCCCCTGCAGACATCTGGGCAGGACGATGGCTACAGGAGGAAGAGGAGCCCCCGGCAAGGTGTCCATCTGCAGGACTCTGACGCACGGTGTACATGGAGCCCATGGAACCCAAGGCAGCGTCGGTAGGATCCACACTGTACTGCTTCCTGTTCGGAGCATCAGCCAGGTAGTCCTCAGGTACAACTGTCTCTGCTCAGGAAGCCCAAACACAAAATAAACATCAGTAAAACAGAAGCTTTCTTAATCAACCCTTGAAAAAAAAATATTTTTTTTTCCAAAGTTCCCATTATTTTTTTTGTCACAAAGTGTAACTCTGTTTTCAACTGTCTGTACAGACAGCTGGCCCAGGAGAGATCCTTGCTGAGAACTAATAAACAGTGAAGGGAAACACAACCACTCAAAGCCAGTAGAGTCACAAGAGGGAAACTGTCTTGGTATGAGTCATTGGTGTCAGCTTACAACATAATTCTCTGTAAAGTCCTGGGCCACTGGCTGGCAGGCCCAATTTGCCTCATGGTGCTCCCTCCAATACACTGAGGCTAGAGGATTGAAAGGAAGGAGGCAGAGGAGAACAACAGGACAGGCAGTTTGTTAAGTTCAAAATGCCTGGCAGCCAGTAGGAAGGAACGAAGGTAATAAACCAAAGCATTCTGGCTGCAAATACCAAAATTAATCAGAAGCATCCTCAGCTGCAGACATCCATCCGGCCCAGTATCCCACAAGGATACAGGCTTGATGACTGATGAGCACACCCAAGGTTTATCATGGACAGTTCCGTGTTATGCGTGAGTTACTTGGACCTGACTCGGGTTCAAGCGTGCCAACATCACAGATAACTGCAAACCATTGCTACGGTTCCTCCACTTATTCCTCCAATTATCATGCTATGTAGGAGCTAAATACTTTGCTTTTCAGATTCCTGGCAATAAACCAAATTTTGACTTCAAGACCTACTCTGGAGGTCTCTCCATGCTCCCCTATGCTTGAGGGTCTCGTGCACAGGCATGTGGGAGGACTAGCTCCAGGTTTGCAGTATGCAGATTTTTTTTGCCATTTCCCCTCAGACTTAGGTTTGTCGCTGTCTGAACTAACACTTCCATGCCCGTGTCACTGTCTTCCTCTTCCAGTCTCCTCATATCCAAGTCTTCTTATTTGCCTTTTTTTGTCTTTTTGTCTTTTTTGCCAAAGATGGCCACAGGTCTTCCTTCTCCTTTTTCCCACTGCCATTCTCCCTGCAAAAGCAGCCCTCCTGTCGCCCAGCCCCAGTATCACTACTGGAATACAAGCAGAGCCCTTGGAAACCTCCATGAGATCCCAACCTTCACAGAACCCTGCTGGCAACTCTGAACTTCCCACTCTCACTGGATGTTAACACCTGGCAGGCAGGGAGCCTCTAGATTAGGGGAAGTGTCTTCCATTTCCCCATGACATTTTTCTGTGCTGTTGAAAAGGCCACTTTCCTCATCATGTGTACTCTCCCCTCAGAGACATCTGAGCAGGGTGAAATTTCCCCCATAGTGTCACACATCAACTTCCTGGCCAAAGCAACACTCTCCTCCTGATGTGTTATGCAGCCTCATTGAGTAACAAGAAAAATTTATGTTGTAATCTATGCCATAAGACACAAATTCCATTGCTAATAGATTTTGAGGCTCTATATAACAGACTATTCCTTTCAATTTACATTTTCACTCCTTTCCTTAAAAAAAAAAAGCAAACATTACTTGACAGCTGTGTACAGTAGTTGATGTTAAATGTACATGATTTATTTCGACAACTCAAATACTCAGGAGTTGTGCCATGCCATCATCTTGGCTTGTGTGTCAGGCCACAGCACAGATTTTTGTTACCTTGTTCTGTTTTATTGCTTCTCTCTTTTAAAATTTTGTCCCATTCTGGGCCAAGGCTGGACTCACCATAAGGCAAACATCAGATTTGAAGGAAAGCTGCAAATGTGAAAATTCCTCACTTTTGGGAATTTGCCTTTGCTGCTACAAGTAACTTTTCTTTAGAAAGGTTTTTTTTCCTTTAGATGATTTGGATTCTTACAGCATGCATTCAGGTGTCCTGCTGCTTTCTGCCAGGAATTTCTGAGCTTGATTCTCATACAAATACAGATAGGGTGTAATTCAACTGAATTCAAGGGAGTTCAGATAACGTAACACATAAGAGAAATGGGAATCAGACACTGAACCTTTCTCCATAACCTCTAACAGATGCCAAAATTATAAAGCAATTGAGCTAAATACCTTGCTTTTCAAACTCCTCCCAAATAAACCAAAGAAAATCCAATCAAGCCTCCTCATTCAAAGGAATTTAATTACTGTGTAGAACACTTGCAATAAAAGCCTCTTATGCATAAAGAAGATGGCTCTTCCTGCAGCATCCTGCCTGCACTGCATGGAATAATTATGCCTCTTGTGAATCATTACCTCTTTATTCCAGGAAAAGAATGCTCTTTTAATATGATTACAATACGAAGAAGACATAGACTATCAAAACAACAAACAGCACATTAAAAGAGCCTTGCTAAATAAACAGCATACAGCTTTTATTGCCATGGATGTAAATTACTCCAAAATTTTTGAGCAGACACCAGGGATTTTTTGATGGATGTCAGACTGTCTCAACAGTCTGTGTGAAATAAGGCATGTATAGATATAATCTCCCTGTGGAAGGACACCCATGAACTATGTACAAGACTACAAGAAGGAGTCAATCTTCCTAACTTTGCCTAGGACTCTTTTCTTGATCTAGATCAATTTATTCTACATCTCTGCTTTGGGCTCTAAAATGGGAGTAATGATGTCTATTGCCATGGAACAAGCTGGAGCCTCCATTCGTTACTGTATGAAACATTCCCCAGTCAAATGTGCTGTGGGAATTTGAAAAGTCGTATTAATGTCTTCATTAGACCAGGGGGAGCAAGGATCATCTCAAGTGGCCCACTGTCCAAAAACTAAAAAACCCTGTGGAAGCTCTTTGTGTTCCTATTTTTCCAGTTTTTTTTTAGTTTGTAGCGCAGAGAAGCTGCATGAATTGAGGTTCTAGTGATGATGTGCATGAAAATATCTGCATTTTGTAAGCTCCCAGAAGGCGTTGTAAAGTGTATGGCCACCACAGCTTCTAATCCCACTTTGGCCAGTTAGGAAAAAAACACATATTTTCTAAGACAATAGAAGAAAATGGAAGTCTCTATTTGGGTTGAAAATGCAACACTTCATCAATCTCTAGCTTAGCCCTTCTGTATTCTGACTTGCTTTCATATTTTGTTTTGTAGGGAGTCAGTTCCACATATTAGTGAGAAAGAAGTACACACTGCTTTAAAGCAGGATTTATGAGAAAGGTTCTTCAAGCTTTTGCTCTGAGCACAGTAGTCTCTGTTACAACTGCTCACCACCCTGCTTAAATGCTTAAGCCATTTTGGCATAGTTTTCCTTTACATGAATGGTCCACAGGCAACTGGATTGAAAAGCCCAAGGCTGTTGAATCCAGCACACCTTAAAATGAGACAAAGAAGGAGAGAAAAAAGCCACAATTGCCTTCACAATTTAAACATCCGCATTTCTTTAGCTGAGCTTCTTGAAAGTAAGTCTTTAAGATTCCTAGCCAAATTCCTGAAGATAGGTCAGTTGGGAGTTAAAAGAGCCTGAGAATCTGCAGGTTACATCCCAGCTGTGCTGCAAACCTCTGGTGTGATCTCGGTCAGGTTATCTGTCATCTCTGGACCTCAGTTCTCGATTAGGATGAAGGAAAACACTTTGTTTTGCCTCTCATTCCTGCAATACATCGAGTTCTTTGCCCCAGCAGTACCCATTTGCCGCTGTGGATGCATACTGCACATGTGAATGCAGAACAAAAACACAGGGCCTTTGGTGGCATCTGGGAATAGAGACTCCAGAAAGACAAAAGAATTGGCTCTCATTGTACATTAGAAAAGCAAATGAAAATCAATTTCAAGTCAAGCAGGAAATGAAGAATAGTATATACACAGGAAAGATGATCCCTAGCTGACCTTTTCCTGAGCAGATCTAATCACTTACTTTTTCTTCTACATCTTAAAAAAAAGCCCAAACTTTGTTAGAATCTCTTCTAAAGGCAAAATCTCCTTGTACACTCCAGAGACACTCTATTCTGCCTTCTCTTCTCCCAGGCCAAACAAGTCTTGTGCCACTTTCCTCACCTGCTGTTGCTCCCACAACACTGCTCATGTTACATCTTTCTTTCCCTCTCTCAGGCTCCATTCCCTTATACCCCTCACATGCTTCTCCCTCTGTTCTTCCCTGTCACCTCTTCCTACTTCTCTTCTGTCTATTACCAGTATCTCGACCTTGTTCTAACTCCACTTTCCTGCACCTATATCACCCTTTTTCCATTTTGCCAGTTATTTCCCTATCTCTCTTTTCTATTTTCTCTCCTCCCACCCTATGATTTTCATAACCATTTTCTCCCCAGCCTGCTTCCCTTCCACCCATCTCACACTTTCATTGATCCAACCCATGCATTTTTCTGGGTTCATCCCCCGATTGCTGCTTGGACAGCAGAGCCTGAGGTCAGGGTAGTGAACTGGGACCAGAATCCCTTTTCCCAGTTAACAGGCCATTTCCTGCACAGCCATGAAGTGACTCCATCTGGGTAAAGGCTGCATGGGGCATTGCTGGACACCCTCTGCTCTGAACATGCTGAACACTTATCCCCAAGCCAAGGAGTTTCTCTTTTACACATCAGTAGCTTCCCAGGACAGCTGCCCTCCCTTCTAGGACAATATTTTAATGTCATTTCATAACCTTTTACTTTACCACCTGCAATGCTCAATCATTTGTATTTGCTTTAATTAAATTCCCCATTAACTTCTTTTCCTCACAGTCAATACAGATTTATTTCTGTCTTTCTTTTCTCTGCCCCCACTATTCCTTTTTTTGTGTCGTCTCCTATTCCTCATATCATTTAGTGATGGGCTTTGCCCTCTGACCCTTCCCTGTACCTTTTAAAGTGCTACCATATATTGTCTATAATGGGTTGACCAGATGTGAACTCCATATTTTAAGCAGCATGATATCATAACTTCCTCAGACCTCTCCTTTCTCCCAGCCAGGGACAGCCTTTTTTCATCTCCCAGTCATTTTGAGAGGAGCCAGCCACAGTGTCAAAATCCTATCAAGAGGCTCCTCCTTTGTATAGCTTTATCT